TGGGTCGTTGGGTTACCTTCAGTATCTCCCTCTGATGGAAAAGGGTTTAATTCCTCTTAAAGGTACTATTATACTGACAAAAACATTCACTTGTTGAACAATATTTATGTTGTTAGAATGTGAATCTGAATAGTAATTAAGTTGACTCTTGTATACTATATATTCAATCTAACAATGTATGCATTTGTCTAATAAAAGAATATTTCAATCTTCAAAAATAATCAATTTAAAAAAAGAGGAATTTACTTCAAATTCCTCACTGGTCATTTGGGGACACTACGTAATAAAATTGTTCATTTTTTTTCTTTTTTGGTTAGAATGTTTGACTCACTAGACCTATTTGATTTGCAGATGCCAGCTATTTGACAAATGGGTATTTAGATACTGTAATAGATTGGATACCAGGCATGAGACATATTCGTTTGAGGGACTTGCCAACCTTCGTCAGAACCACAGATCCAAATGACATCATGCTGAAATATCTTGTGAGAGAGTTCGAACGAGCCCAGAAAGCTTCAGCAATCATTTTCAACACATTTGAAGCCTTAGAGCTTGAAGTTCTGGATGCACTTTCGACTTTCCTACCACCTATTTACTGCATTGGACCCCTTCAACTACAGGTTAGTCAGATTCCACCAGATTATAACAATTTGAAGTCGATTGAATCAAATCTTTGGAGAGAAGAAACAGAGTGCCTTGAATGGCTTGACTCAAAAGAACCAAATTCTGTGGTTTATGTCAACTTTGGAAGCATCACAGTCATGACAGCTGAGCAGCTAATTGAGTTTGTATGGGGACTTGCAAATAGCAACAAGGCCTTTTTATGGGTTCTAAGGCCTGACCTTGTTCGTGGAGAATCCGCTGTGGTTCCACCGGAGTTTTTGGAAGAGACCAAAGAAAGGGGTCTATTCGCAAGTTGGTGCCCTCAAGATCAAGTACTGAGCCACCCAGCTGTAGGAGGGTTCTTGACACACAGTGGATGGAACTCCACCCTTGAAAGTTTGTGTGGTGGAGTGCCCATGATCTGTTGGCCCTTCTTTGCAGAGCAACAAACCAATTGCAGGTTCTGTTGCAAAGAATGGGGCATAGGCATAGAGATAGAGGATGATGTTAAAAGAAACTACATAGAGGACCTTGTGAGAACATTAATGGAGGGAGAGAAGGGCAAAGCGATGAGGAAGAAAGCCATGGAATGGAAGAAGTTGGCAGAGGAGGCCGCTACTGGTCCAAATGGGTTATCATTCTTGGCTTTGGACAACATGATTAACCGTGTTCTTCTTTCTCCAAGAAATCTGAATTGACTAGAATCTAGCTGGTTGTTTCAGTCCGTACTTTGAATCATCTTGTTCCTGATAAGAAGTTCCTTTTTGCTTTTGTGTAGTTTTATGTGCTTTTGTGTAGTTTTTGAATTTCTCGGGTCATGAGAAGTTTTTTGTTTTTTTTTTTTGTCTGAGAAGTTCCTTTCAGCTTTTTTGTTTGCTTTAGAGCAAGTCCAGCAACACAGGCTGGACTCGGACTAGGAGATTTTAGGACTAAAAAGCGATTCCAGCAGCTCAGGCTGGTCCGGGCTGGAGGTGGGGGCCACGAAGACAAGCTGACCCAATGGCAAGTCGAGCTTGAGATCCAAAACGAAGGGGGTTGACGTTAGCGCGCGGAGTTTAAAATTTTTTACCGTTGGCGCGTGCATTAAACTACCCTCACTAACGTCAGCCTTGCGCTGCGCAAACGGCTCTGGGACATGTGGCGTTGTCTGGGCGCTCCGATCGTGATTCTCTCCTCCAATCCAACGGCAGCCAATATTTTTGCAATAAAAATATGAAGAAAAAAAATCTGAATTTTTTTTAAAAAAATACCAAAAAATATTGGAATTTTTTTCTATAAATACCTACCAATACTCTTCACTTTCAACACCAAATCCTCATACATTTTCTTCTACTTCTACTATTATTCACTTTTTACTCAACATTTTATTCACTTTCAAGTTTTATTTTTCTTTATCATCTTTATGGCTTCTTTTATCTGAAATTTGAAACCGAAAATCTTATCCGATTATGAGATATGAATAGTATTGACACGTAGGAACCCAAAAATCTTATCCAAAAATATTGTCCAAATTAATTATTTAGGTAAACAAATTTGTGAAAAAAACAAAAAAATAAATAGTGTTTGCCCTTTGCCATGGCAACTGCTGGAAACCAACATTACTTTTTGCAAGGGCAACCACTATTCACGTGAATGGTAGCTGCCCTAACCCCCCTCCCTTGTCATGGCAAGGGCATAATTGCTGGAAGTGCTCTGATGTGCTTGCTTTGCAAGTTGGGGTATCTAATAATAATGCTTCACGTACTCTTGTAGTTTTAAAATGGAACATTTGATCAATATACCCATCAATTATGTGATTTCGACTTTTGATTCCATGTCACAAGCAAACCATCAAAAAGGCAAGAAACTATATCAAGCAAGGGACATCAATTATGTGATTTCAACTTTTGATTTTATGTTAGCTCAATGGGTTGAGTGTTTACACTTGCATTCGAAGTCCTGCATTCCAATCCTCCAATATATAAAATTTTTAAAAACAAATCAAAAGAAGTTCTTCTAGTACCCAAAATTCCTATCTACAATAGTAGTTTAGAATATTATCCATTACTGTTAGAGCATTACCCGAGTCTCTATTGTCCCTTTTTGAGTTTTTACTTTTCATGAGTTTTTACCCGTTTCAAGAATTTAGCATTTTTCCTGTTTAATACTCGTATTCATGTCTTTTTACAAAATTTTCAATAAGACACACAAAATTCACGTATTATACACATAATTCTCACAAATTATTAAATAAAAACAATATATATTAATAAATATTTAAAAAAATAATATAGTGGCCGTACTTTAAAGTTGTAATTTGCCAAAATTTTGCCGAATAAAATACGTATTTTTTTCCATTCTATATTTTACTAACTATGAATGAATGTGAGAGGCTAATCGCTAGGCAGGTCCTCCTTTTTTTTTTCATAAATAGTATAGCCGGGCGGCTATACTCGGTTTTGCTTTTTTTTTTATTTAAAAAAAATAGTATAGCCGGCCCGCTATACTCGGTTTTTAAATTATTATTTTTTAAAAAAATAGTCCAGCCGCTCAGCTATACTACGGTTTTTTTTAAATGGTATAGACGCGTGTCTATACTCGATTTTTCAAATTTGTTTAAAAAAATGGTATAGACGTATGTCTATACTCGGTTTTTAAACTATAGTATAGCCGCGCGGCTATACTACGGTTACTTTTCGTGAGTTTTTACTTTTCGTGACCCTTTCCTTTTTGGCAAAATCTAAATCTCACTTTTGTACCTTCGGATACAATTGAAAAAAGAAAACAGATGTTGGCTGGCTTCGGCCCAGCATCTGCCACTCATCGTCCACCCATGTTCCCTCACTAAAGCTTCTATTTTCACAAAAGTTCCTGTGTATGCCTGAGAAGCACAATGATGCCTTATTGTAAGCCCAAGTACTTGTAACTAGGGAAATAAGAAATAGCTTTCACAAATAAGCCTCTCAAAAGTCTAATTCATAATTTAGAAAAACACTTAAGTCTTGCACATGGGATGAGGAAATTTGAGAGCGTTAAGGAATTCTAAAATGTTCGAAAATTTCTAACTCTCTTGAAAGTAAGTGTTTCTCACTAATATTATCAATTTATGGATCCTAAACTAATTAAGTAGAAAAGAAACCTTTACTCTCGCCAACATGAATATTGGTCTTCACAAAAGGTGTTTGTATTGACTCCTTTGGTACCAAATATACTAAAAATCACTACTTTGATATATTAGGCACCAAAAATGCCAATACAAACCCCTTTTGTAGACAAATAAACAGGCCTATTGGTTTTCTTAGTAGTGTAACCAGAGAGCTAGACACATACATTATGTATGATACATAGTAAGTTCTTATTACTTTAAACATTTGCTCTAAGAAATAGCAAGGTCGGCCCTGAAGGGAGTCCTAGGCTCCCATGAGGCGACCTCCTAGGATCTCGCATCAAGGAGGCCTTGAAAGTTGAAACAAACTATTTATCACAATAAAGTCAAGTTTATTGTGCAGCGCTAAACCCTTGTGTGCAGCGCAGTTGATGTTTGTTTCCTAACTTTAGGTGGCCAAGTTTAATTCCCATGCTGCCTTTCTAAGTCTTTTTTTAGTTAAAATGGTTCAAGTTTTACCCTTTTTTTTTTATTTTAAAGATCTTTACAGTGCAGAGAAGTTGGCTATTTTTCAGAATTTCCCTTACAAATATGATCTCTAAATTACATGACACTACAATTTTCTACTGAAAGGAAAATATCATGGAAATAGTCAACTGATTTGTGTATCAAACTCAGAGAATTTTTCATTCAAATCTTCATCATCGATTCTTCATCATAAAAAGTTCAAGAGGGGAACACAAAATTTTCATATGCCTTAAGAGGTTGTGTCACTTGACAAGCCTTTAAACAACGATGGTGTGGTACTAGTATCCTCGTCAAGATCCCTGACTTCATCAAAAGAATTAGGTGGAAAAGGTCTATGGCCATGGCCAAAAGCCTTGATATGGTCTTTGAGTGATCTCTTGTGCTTAAAATCCGAACCACAAATGCAAAGCCAGCGCTTGCCACAATTCTTCTCATGTGTTCTCCAGTCACCTTTCACTGCCAGCAGCTTCCCACACTTGCGACACATGAAGGGCTTCATGCCATGCTTCCTCTTGTAGTGTGTTTGAAGGGTCCGAAAGTCCTTTAGAGGCTTTGCTCTTGGGTGGTCTATGTTGTTTTTGCAACCTTCTGCACAGCAATAGCATGGGATGCTTAGCATGGCTCGAGGCTGTGTTCCTTTCAATGACTCCGGCCCTCTTCGATACTGCGATCCATGCCCCCACATGTGCATCTTCCATGGGAATGATGACATGACAGTGGAAAGCACAGGGATAGTGAAATCAATTAATAAGAACATAATAGGAAACTTATAAAGTTCAGGTAGTAAATTTTTCCAACTTTGTTAATCAAACCAAAGCATGGGGGTTTCGAATGCTAAACTGAAGTCCGTTTGGCTGGCTCAAAAGGGTTTTCGTTTTAAAATCAAGGAATAATATATGGTCTTAAACCAAAACCCTCCAAGCTTCAGTTTAATTACCGAATAGTGAAGAGGATTCATATATTGAACATTTGTGTGTGTGTGTGTGTATGTATCTTATATATGTGAAATTTTGTACCAAATATTCCGAAGAGACTTAGATTATAATTTAGACAACTTGTAACCGTACCTGCAGATTATTGTAGCGGTTAAATGTTTTGAAGCAGACATGGCAAGAAAAATGGGTGAAGCCAATGAGTATTTGTTCTGGAGTTGGAATCCAATATTTTTGTGCTGTCACGTTGTTTTCATCTTCCTTCTCATTTAAATAGTTCACAGAGCCATCTGAATATTCTGGAAGGCCAATGTGCAGGGCCACAGTGACTTCATCCTCTTTATGATCTTCATTGCATGTTTTAGGGTTTTCATCATGAGAATCAGGCACCTGATGCTCAGGTGAACGAAGTAGGCAGCTTATCAGTGGTAGAGGTTCAAGATGAGCATTTGGGGTCTCATAATTTGGAAAAAGATTGAGGGTCTCAACATGATCATTGGCAGAAAAGAAGGGGGAGGAGCTAGATGAAAATTCAGAGGGCTCCATATTATAAGAGCACTGATTATTAAAACTACATAGAATGAATGGTGTGCAACATAATTGATTTAAGATCAAGGCATTTATAATGAGATCATAGCCTGAAATGAATGCATGGTAATCATGAGAGAGAGAGAGACAGAGAGAGAGAGAGAGAGAGAAAGAGAAGGGTTGAGGGTTGGCTGGAGAATATTGCAGTTGAGTGAAAAGAACCATTGTTGAGGGGGTCATAACTATGTGCTGTCTGCACTGTGTGTATCTTTGGGGAAAGGAAGGAAATAACCTTAAATTCTGTGGCCCATGTCATCTGAATTTAGCAACATTTACACCACAGAGGGTTGAAAATCTAAGGCAATTTGTATTATCATGAACTCTCTCTCTCTCTCTCTCTCTCTCTCTCTCTCTCTCTCTCTCTCTCTCTGTGCAAATTTACATACCCAACAGTCAACTCACACCACACACACACAGAACAGCAGAGGGAGAGAAGAGAGAGAGAGAGAGTTGCAGGGTGAATCATTAATTTCTAGTTATTTAGTATGTGCATGTGGACATTTCAATCAATATTCATTACGTGCAAGTTTTACTTAACCTAGCTATATAGTTTGATTAGTCGTTCATCCTAGCAACCTTTATTTTCTGAAAGCTGACATGCTATCTTTCAATTAATTACCATTTACCCCAGCAGTAGTAAAGCCAGTAGTACTAGTTCCAGAGCTTAGAGAAGAATGAATGCATGTGGTTTTCTTTGCATTCGATACTTAATTAGCCATGTGACAGCTTGCTAGCTAGCAAAAGCAATATACTCTGATCAACATCATCAAGCCATTATGTGATCATTGTGTAGACTGTGAGACGTAGTAGGCAAATTTAGGGTTTAGGGCTATTGGATCAACTGGGCCATGATTCAAAATAAACGGGCCAAAATTGAAGCTCAAAGCTTGATCACCTCCTGCTAGAAGAGT